CTCTTTAGCATGGCCTGGATCACTCCTTTTATTCCTTAACCTCTATTAAAGCTATCACTACAGTAGTTGGGGTGACCGAGCATTTTCCAAATGAGAGAGATTCTCTGTGTGGTGCTTTATTTTGACCTTTGCCTGTCTTAAAACCAAAAAATTATAGAACTAAAATAGTGTTTATATAATTGAGCTATATGTCTATCAAAGGCAGGCTGGCAGCATCAGGAGGAGGAGGGTCTGACTGGGACACAATGGTGCTAAAGTGCAGTGCTAGGCAGCAGGCAGCCCTCCCACACTTTAGCATCCTCATGCCCCAGCCAGTGCCTGTCACCATTTACACATGCATTTCAGCATACATTATTGCTCCACCATAGAATAGTACTGTCCCTGACAGTACTATCCTATGGTGGAGTTAATTATTTTACACTTAATTAACAGCGGAGCTACACGTACAGAAGCACATGTGTAGATGCACCCTGTAAAATTAATACAGTTAAGAGCAGAATCAGACCCTTGCATCTTAATTTAAATTAGATTTTGATGGTCCTGTAACTCTCCTTATTGTAATGTCTTTCACAGTATAATTTATTTGGTTGTAACTGGAGAAATGATGTCTTAATGGAATAGTTGCCATAGTCAGGGGAGAGACTGTTAAACTTCTCTGCTTTTGTTCACAGGTGATGATTGGGACTGCACTTAATGTAAATGAGATGAAGAAACTGATCACCCACATGGGTGAGATTGAGCATCCTTGGAACTGTCCTCATGGAAGGCCTACCATGAGGCACATAGCCAGTTTAGACTTGATTTCTCCAAAATAAAACCATGGCATTTGTTTTATTGGCAATTTTCACTTTTATTCATTGGTGATAATATTGATCCATGTCTTTTTGACTTGTAGATTTTATCATGACTTTTTTTTATTTTAGCTACCGTTTTGCATATTTAAATACTACTTTTATAATGCAAACATATCCTGTAAGCTTTCTGTATTACCTTTATCAAGTATAAAGTCACATGAGATTTACTTGTAAATAGTATTCCTTCTGTCAAGGCTGGCTTCGTAGGGTTTTTTTTTTTTCCTGCCCCAGCTATAATTGTATTTTAAAAATAAATTTTTATAACTAAATTTGAGTTGTTAATCAGTCTGCCTTAAAGGGAACATATTTTGGTGTGATTTGAAAGAGCGTAAAATATATCTAGCCAAGGTTGTAGTAAAACTATGCTGACAGTTAATTTTCTACTGTTTCAAAGAAATCAGAATTGCTGTATAGGCAAAAGAATTAAACATCTTTTTTCTCTTGCAATTTTAATTATGGTTTGCATTAATGTTTAGTAGTGAGAAACATTACATACTGGTGCCAAGGAATTAAGGGAAGGAATTGACTCTCTTTAATATTAACCTTTTTCCTCTCAAGCAGCACTTTACTGAAACCTATCCCATAACATTCTTTAAAGAACAGGGATTCCTTTTTGAGAATGAATCTCACCAACCTTTTCTGTTATAGGATCCAAGTAATTGTTATGCTGGATACTTAGGAGCCAGGAGTCCAGATTTTCTGCTTAGTGAAGTTAATGGTAAAATTCTGACTTCAATGGTTACAAGATCTGACCTAAAAGTCTTTGGTTTGGTTTGCATTTCTGTGGCCATGCCTTTCATAGAGGAGTGAGTTTGGGCCATTGTACTTTTCCTTTCAGGGATAGGGTGCAGGACTAGATGACTGAAGATGTGGGTTTTCTTGGTTTTACCATTGAATTGTGTGAAGTTGATCAGAAGCTATATTTATCTCCTGACTACTCTGAAGGGTCTGTATTGTACTGTGAATAAATGCTTTCAGTGAATAATGAACAGTGCTGTTCAACTACTATGCTCCATCCAGTGTTTTCAGTAAACAAAATGAATTAGCCAAATATTTTCCAAGAAGCAGGTGGGCAGCCAGTGTAGTAGTGTAGTGCTTCTGGCTGTGTGTACTGCAAAATAATATTGCAAACACTGTCACATCATTTTAAAGGAATTGCAAATGAAAAGTGGAGACACCAGAAGAAAAAGCTTTTCCCTTGAGTGTGCCTGGCACCTGCTGTGCTGCCTGCCTTGAGGAAAAAAAACACATCTCCTATCCTGAAACGATTTTGTTTAATGTCATTAGTTACATTTTTGCATTTTGCAGGATGATACCAGGGGGATTGGGGACTATACCATACCAGCATGTGGAGGGTACAGTTTGGACTGTACCACAGTGCAATGCTGGGGTGCACGGCAGCCATGCGATGACAGCAGATGGGGGCTGCTGTAGTGTCCTAGCACAAGAGAGCAAAGGGCAATGGACTGTTGCATATCTGCCTACGGGGTGTAGCACCTGGAGGGAAACAACTGTCCTTGTGAGGGGAGGAAATGGGTGTTGGTTTCTTTAAGAGAACTGCAAGTATTTGATTGGTTGGAAGGCAGTTACTATAGTTACCATCAGGCCTGGGACGCTGCTGCTGCTGCAGCCTGCAGTAGTGAATGGGTGAATGGGCCTCTGCTAATCTGGGGCTGGTGCCTACACAGCCTGTTTTCACAGCTTAGAGCCAGTGAAGATGAACCCCCAAGTTCTAGCTGTGTAAGTTGGCAATACATGCAAAACCGGTTTTGTGCATAGGATAAGTGCTGGGTGTCAGCTGTAGGCAACCCACTCTCCCTTTGCTAGTATAGAAAGATAGCCCAGGGTCTTATAGCTGCTGGGTTAACTGCTTCATGGCTGCCAAACAAGCCTTCCGAATGGTTAAATATTAATTACCCTGCAGAAACTCCTAAGGGCAATTTTTATTGAACTTCAGTCCTAGAATATATATTCTTTTTCTCCTGCACTTGTTTAAATAGGGCATGTCAGGGGAATGTAAAAAGATTATGCAAATAAAACCTGAGGTGGGTGCATGGAGTGCAGCTGGCTGTGTGTAAACTGTTTCCTCCTAGCCAAAAAGTTTTCTAGCTTTGTTTTTAGGTTTGGGAAGTTAGTCTCATAGGAATCTTCACAGCTTAATAGCTATAAGGTAATGATAGCTTTGGCTTTTTGCTTCAGTATGTTATTTGCTGTAACCAGATAGCGATGAGGATTTAATGAGTGTGTTTTTGCCGCCTCTAAGTCATTCTCACCTAATGCAGCATGTAATATTATTGCCCACAGAATCAGGTATGCAAAATAAGGAAGCTTTAACCATGAAAACAATGGAAGCCATGACTGTAGGCACCTGAACTGTTCTATCGCTTTCATGCTGAAGTCACCAAGATGTGACCGCCCAACATGACCCTTATTTTCATAAATTCTCATAGTGCAAGTTTTAGATATCAAGTAAAGTATATTAATGCAGCATTTCTTCCACCCTCATTTTACGTAGAAGCACATGAAACTTCTAATTTTGAGTATGTTGGTAACTGCAAAAATCTCTTCTACTGCTTTCCAAAATACTAATCTTTTGGAAAGCAAGAGGAAGGAAACCAGACTTGATCATGCTACTTGCTTTTCTCATTTTATTTTCCAGTTAAATAAGTTCAGGTTTTGAAGATTAAACCTCTTGCATAAGACGACCACAGGATCTCACATGATTTTTAGTCAGGAAAAAGTGTAGCTTTGGAACAACTCAGAACTATGGCTAAGGATAAGAAGAAAGAGAGCAAAAAGGCTGAAAAATCTGTGCCTCTCCCTCCTCCTCCTGTTGTTCCTTCACATGAGGGTAGTTTGTCTAAGCTCCCAGGTTTACAGACCTCAGTAAATCAAGTGGAAGAAATACAGCCAAACGCATTGGTATCCCAGGAAGAATCAAAAGAGGTGGAAGAATCTGTGGTTCAAGAGGCTGTTCAGTACTATGAAGAGCCTGTTCTAACTCAGCTCATTGTAAAAAGGTATGTTATAAGTATGGCTGCTTAGTTAGAAACATGTCCGTTACACAGAATTATTATTTAAATAGCCCTGATGTATCTGATGGGACACAGATGTGGACAACGCTCCTACGCTAAGGAACTTTCTGCCTAAAAGGCACCAGGCAGGAATGCATGGTGCGACAGCAAATACTGATAACTTGTTATGTTTGTGAGAGCATGTGCATATGGACCCTCAAAGCTCTCCACTCCAATTAAGCTCCACTGCACAGTGGTACAGCAGCAGACTGACCATGTAGGAAGGTATTTGCCTTGATTACCGAATAGGCAATAAGAATGGGGCCAGAGGCTTTGTTTTAACACCATTAGATTTGTGAGACTACCTGAACAGGAGTGCATGTGGAGAATGGGAGCCTTTACTATAGCCTTGGGTCCTGGCCCTAGAACGTTGCTTCATACTCTTAGTCATTCGTTTATGGTGCTTGCACATTAAAACAAAAGCAAAAACCATGTGTTTACTTTACCTTGAACTCAGCGCATTCCTGTCGAGCCCGACACGTGCTCAGAAGAGGTAGCACATTACTTCGACCTGGCTTGCCTGACAACTGTAAAGATTGGGTCCTTTAGTGGGGCTTTTTTGGTGCTTTATCTCACTGAATCAGCTTTAGCTAAAAGTGCCAAAAAGCCCATTTGAACCACCGTGTCTTTACAGATACTGCAGAGCCAGGTTGCAGTAACATGCTGCTGCTTCCAATAAAGCACGGTTATGTTTTTTGTTTTTTTTTTTTTTAACATCTGCAAGCAGCCTTAAAGTCCAATTCCTTGGGCTTTATTTCGAGAAAATTAAATTTCACTGGAAGCATGCAGGTAGTATTTATGGAAAGGGATGCGTAATTAGATGTTTGCTGCTGTTTCACATGTAAGGTATCTTGGTGACATTAATGCACATCCCTCCCTAGGGAGATGTGTAGAATCCATTTTTTTAACTGCTGTTGTCTCAGGTTTACTTACAGTGATATGAAAATGTAATCTTTAGTTTACTTTTCTTGTAGTTATGAAGGAGAAAAAGTCCATGGATTGTATGAAGGAGAAGGTGTTGCATATTTTGAGGGAGGAAGTGTGTACAGGGTGAGTATATCAGCAAGTATAATGAGACAAATTCTTCCCCTGCAAGTGAGCAGGCTACTCCTCTTTTTGATTTAATTGAAGACTGGGCAGCTAAAACTCCTGTCAGAGTTGCTGGCATTAACAGTTTTTTAATTTGGTGCTAATAGTGGAAGGCTTTTAATTAGAACATGTTACTGCTTCCAAAATTATCCGGTAGTTATAGACTAAGACATAAAAATGATAGTATGTGTTTTATTTTCAAGGGCATGTTTTCTGAAGGGCTTATGCATGGACAGGGGACTTACACATGGGCTGATGGAGTGAAATATGAGGTAAAGTTTTGTATTAATTATTAGTGCACCATTAGAATTGGTTATGGTCTAAATGTGCAAATTCAAGGAGAGCATGTACTTTGCAGGAGATAATTACAGTCAGAGATAGAAAAAATAATGGTAGCAGCTGTGTTCTAAAAGTAAAAAAAAATCTCACAAAAATTTTTTTTTTTCCTGTTTGTTTGGACACCGTGAAACATTTTCTTTTTATGACTTATTCTAAACCAATGTTCTCAATCTTGTTAGACTTGAGGCACCGCTGAGAAAATTCCAGCTGTTAGTTTGCACTCATTATAGAAAAATAACGGAGCAATTCTTCTGTTGCAAAGAACTCAGAAAGACCACAACAAGTAAGAGTGTTTTTGAGACCATGGATTCCATAGCACCATGGTTGAGAACCACTGCTTTTAGTAATAACAGCAACAACAACAACCACCAAAATTAGCAGTAAGATAAAATAACATTCATCTCGAAACTTCTCCTAAGGCTTAACTAATCCTGGGACTTCTCTGCAGGCTAGTTCAGGCCAGCTCTTGGATGGCGCTTTTCCTCCTGGGCAGCTGCTCCCACTTTCATAGATTTCACAGATGTTAGGACTGGACCCAACTGATCTTGCAAGGTCCCCTTTTTATTTAGGACATCCCTTGTTTTAGTGAATAATCAGTTTTTTTTAATTTAATCTCTTAGGGCACCTTTGTTAAGAATGTTCAGCTGTATAATGGCACTTATACCTGGTGTGATGGCAGTGTATATGAAGGAGAGATCACAAAAGGAGTAAGGCATGGATTTGGCATGTACAAGAGTGGAACCCATCCAGTTTCTTATATCGGCCAATGGTGTGAAGGCAAAAGACATGGGAAGGTAAATGAAGCACAAAAGTATCTTTCAGGCTAGTGACGTTTAGGATAAAAGTCTGGCTGTGTGCTACCCCCCTCCTCCTCCTGCTCAGCGTTCGGCCACCCGGGGTACTTAGACTAAAAAAGGTTGAAAATCCCCACTGTAATGTATCGAGTGCTTATTTGTATTAGAAAGAGTAAAGAGTGGATGTGAGACACTCCACTACTGTAAAATTAATTAGCAATCATAAATGTCTCTTGCTCTTTTTGGCACCTCTAATTGGATGGTGACCAGGTCAGTCAAGAAGTTAAGAATCTAAGGCTGTGTGAATCTAAGGCTGTGTGATTAAAATAAACCTCGGTAGTAATAGTAGCTCAGGCTGCATTGGGAAAAGGACAGTGAACCAAACCTCACTCTCTAAGTGCACTGAAAATAATAGCCTAAGTACGTGAATAAATACAATAATAGCTAAGTCGTTAGCCTGCATATGCTAGGCTGTGACCCAGGTCAGAATGTTTGCTGTAGTTAGCTGCATTGCAGCAGTAGCAGAGCTGTAACAGCATTCTTGGTGTCCAGAGGATTTGAGGAGGATGGCAATTTTTGGATTAATGTAATAAGCCTTTTTCGAACACATAGTGCCAGATCCTATTTCACCCTATTCAAGTCCCTGAAAACTCTCAGTGCATCTACTTTTCTAACACACTTTTTGTCTTTGCTTCCAACCAGATTACAAAAAGCAGTAGAGAGCACAACCCACCCCACTTCTTGCATTAACAATTTTTCAGCAACTCGGGCAAGATAGAATAGAATCATACTAAGGTGCCCAGTTGACCCATGGTCTTATCTAAGTCTGTAGCTAATGTTGATGAGAATACCAGGATTTATTTTATTTTAGATTCAATTGCTTTTAACATAAATTGTCAGCAGTTTCTTAGTAACTGCACCAAGAGAACTCTTAAGTATGTGTGGTACTTGTTTTGTTTGGTGTATGCAATATATTGGTAAATCATTTATGTGAATATTTAGATGGTGTTTTACTAAACTGATCATACTGCTTGTTTCAGGGTACTATTTATTATAATCAGGAAGGAACCTCCTTGTATGATGGTGACTGGGTAAACAACATCAAAGAGGGCTGGGGGATAAGATGGTAGGTATAACAACACTTTTGTTAAACGAGATTTCTGAAGATCTGCTGATTTGATACATTAACATACAGTCTGTACGTTCTATGCAGTAGACCTGATTTTTTCCTCTGACTTGCTGGTTGTAGAGGCATTTAAAGCTACTCAAAATGCAGCTATTTTCTGTAAAAATAAATAAATAAATAAATAAAAATAAAAAAATAAAAAAATAAAGCCAGTTGAAGATGAAATAATCAAAGAATGGCACAGTAAACATTATACAGCAGTTTAAAAGAAATCATCTTGACTTCTCTCTACATCTCTCAGGTGTATGAGAACATGTTTTGCTTGCTTTCAGCAGACCTATGTTGAACAGAGAATTGGCTAATATTTGTGAACTACTTTGTAGATTGAAAGCAGCATGTAAGCAATAAGTGCAGTCAAGCCCCTACTTTCCCATCCTTAGAACAACTGAAATTTTTAGTAAAATCCCCATAGTTTTGAACAAATGTGACGTCTTTATGTGCTGCAGTCAGACTCCAGTATACAAATATTCAACTGAGGGATTGCTGTCAATAGCTTTACATTTACTGGCAGAATTAGTTGATCCAGAGTATGACTTTCAAAATCTACTGGCCTTCTCTCTCCCATTATAAATAGCAGGTCTCAAGACTGCTCAGTAAAGCAGGACTTCAGTGCCCACTCCTTTGTATGTTTAAGTTAGACTTCTGTGCATAGACCCTGAACACAGCTATCTCCCCTGAAGTCTTGCATGTCCCTGGATTATCAGCAGGGATCCTGGTTTTCTCTGTTAAAACAATTGCAAATTCTTTGATACAAAAAAAATCCAACATTCTTTGATTTTAAAAAACCCTCAAATTCATGTTTTTCCATGTTTAAAACAAAACACCCCTATATATGTATTGATATCAGTTGAATACAATGTTTCCATGATAAATTTACAATTTGAAAGCAGTTTGGAAGCCTACCAGTGCCTCAGTCATTATAATAAAATAAATTTTACATACTTATAAATTTTGGTGTTTAATTCTGAGTTTTTTATCATGGAAATCAGAGCTCCCCCTGCCTGCTTTGCTCACCAGGATATGGGTCCAGCTACTTTGTGGTGCTGCTTTGTGGCACTGAGCAGCCCTGATATGCCAGTGTCCTGCCCCTGCCTGTGCCCATGCCTCTCACTCCTGACCCACAGAACAGTCCAGCTCCATCCTCTTTTGAACCCCCTTCAGGTAGTTGAAGGCTGCTATTAACTCCTCTCTGTCTCATCTTCTGTACCCAGTTCCCTTAGCCTCTCCTCAGAAGTCATGTCCCTTAGCCCCCTAACCATTTTTGTTGTCTTCTGTTGTCTCCACTTGATACCGGCTGCCAACTAGACAGCGAGCCATTTATTACTACCCTCTGAGCCCAGTGCTCCAGCCACTTTTCTATGCACTGTACACTCCATCCAGCCCATACTTCCTTAGCTTGACTGCAAGAATGTTGTGGGAGAGCATATCAAAAAGCCTTGCTAAAAAATAAGGTATATCGCATCCATTGGTCTCCCCACATCTAGTCAGTCACCTTACCATAGAAGGCAGTCGGGTTGGTCTGGCATGACTGGCCCTTGGCGAATCCATGCTGACCGTTTCTAATTGCCTTCTTCTTCTCTAAGTGCTTTGAGAAGGATTTTTTGAGGATCTGCTGCATGATTTTTCCAGGGATGGTAAGGCTGACTGGTCTGTAGTTCCCTGGATCTTCCTTTTTCCCTTTTTGAAATATGGGTACTATGTTTGCCCTTTTCCAATCATCCAGGACTTCTCCTAATTGCCATGAGTTTTCAAAGATGATGGCCAGTGGCTCTACAATCTTATCAGCCAACTCCCTCAGCACTCTCAGGTGCATCCTGTTCAGCCCCATGGACTTGTATATGTCCAGCTTTTCTAAATACTCCCTAACCTGATCTTTTGCCACTATTGGCTGCTCACGTCCTTCCCAAACTTTGCTGCCCAGTGCAGTAGTCTGGGAGCTGACCTTGCCTGTGAAGACTGAGGCAAAGAAGGCATTGAGCACTTCAGCCTTTTCTGCATCCTCTGTCACAAGGTTGCCTCCCCCATTCAGTAAGGGACCCACACTTTCCCTGATCCTCCTCTTGCTACTGACATACTTGTGGGAACCCTTCTTGTTACCCTTCACATCCCTTGGTAGCCGCAACTCCAATTGCGCTTTGGCCTTCCTAGCTTCATCCCTGCATGTCTGAGTAATGCTCTCATACTCCTCCCTATTTATTTGGCCAAATTTTTACTTCTTATTAGCTTCCTTTTTGTGGTTTTAATTTACTGAAGAGTTCCCTGCTAAGCCAAGCTGGTTTTCTGCCATACTTGCTAGCCTTCCTGCACACCGGGATGGTCTGTTCCTGCACTCTCAGTAAGTCTTCTTTAAAACGCACCCAGCCCTCCTGGACTCCTCAGACTGGCTTCCTAGAGGATCCTGCCCATGAGTTCCCTGAGCGAGTCAAAGTCTGTTTTTCTGAAGTCCAGGGTTCTTACTCTGGTGCTCTCCACCCTTCCTTTCCTCAGGATCCTGTGGTTGCTGCTGCCCAAGTTGTCATCCACTACTACATTCCCCATCAATTCTTCCCTATTTATGAGTAGGAAGTCAAGAAGAGCATGTCCCCTAGTTGGCCTCTCCAACACTTGCACCAGGTAGTTGTCCCAACACTCTCCAAATACTTCCTGGATTGCCTGTGCACTGCTGTATTGCCCTTCCAGTAGATGTCAGTGTGATTGAAGTACCCCATGAGAACCAGGGCTTGTGATGAGGAAACTTCTGCTTTCTGTTTGAAGAAAGCTTCACCCGCCACTTCCTCATGGTCTGGTGGTCTATAGGAGACCCCCACTGCAACATCATCTTTGTTGCTCTCCCCTCCAACCTGTTGAAAGTCTATGGGTTAAGGTTAATCTCCAGTTTCATACTGAAGCTCTGAGCAGTCGTATGGCTCTTCTATATAAAGTGCAACTCCTCCTCTTCTTCCATGTCTGTCCTTCTTGAACAGTTTGTACCCATCCATGACAGTGCTCCAGTCATGCAAGCTCCCACCAAGTCTGTGTTATTCCAATTGTATTCTAGTTTCATGAATGTGCAAGGACTTCCAATTCTTACTACTCATTTCCCAGGCTCCTTGCATTCGGGTACACCTGAGGTAACTAGTTGATTGCCCTAATTTCTCAGGAAGTATGAGAATACCTCCCCTATTGCCCCTCCTGCCTGCTCTTCCTTCAGGTCTGCCTCTTCCCTATCTACCTGGGCTTTAGTCTCCATCCCCCAGCAAACCTAGTTTAAGCCCTCCTCTCTAGGTTAGTGAGCCTGTCTGTGAAGATGATCTTCCCTCTCTGTCAAGTGTATCCCATCTCTTCCCAGCAATCTTTCTTGGAACAGCATCCCATGGTTGAAGAAGCCAAATCTCTGCTGGCAACACCACTTACGCAGCCAGATAATCTGCAGGATGCACCTGCTCCTGCCTGGGCCCTTTCCCTTGACCAGAAGGATTGAAGAGAACATGACCCGAGCCCCAGACACCTTCACCTTTGCAACCAGAGCCCTGTTTGATTTGCCCAGGGTCTCCCCTGGCAGTATCATTGGTGCCCATATGGATGAGCAGCATGGGGTAGTAGTCAGAGGGCTGGATGAGTCTTGGTAATTCCTCCGTGATATCTCTGATCTGGGCTCCAGGCAAGCAGCAGACTTCCCTAGACAGCAGATCAGATTTGGCAGATGGCTCCCTCTGTTCCACACAGAAGGGAGTCTCCAACCACCACCACCCATCGCAGCTTCTTGGTGGAGGTTGTCTGGCCAATGGAACATGCTCTTCCCTCTCTGTTACCAGGGCTGTATATCTGTTCTTCAGATGAACCGCTGCGTGTGGAGGTAAAGATTTCTGCTTATTGCCAGAAGTAACAAGCTTCTAGCTTCTACCCTCTTGGGAGTCCATATCCTCTCTTTTCTAGCATTGCCTTTTTCCCCCAAGCAAAAGTGTGGAACTCTCCTTGAAAGTCAATGGGCATTGTGCATCTACCTATCATTTGTGCCAGCCTCCCCCATTTTTGTCTTTGTTTATCCAATGGCTAAATAATTTTATTTTTGTTTTCATGCAGTTATGAATCAGGAAATATATATGAAGGTCAGTGGGAGAAAAATGTACGCCATGGGGAAGGAAGGATGAGGTGGCTGACAATAAATCAGGAGTATACTGGGCAATGGGCAAATGGCATACAGGTATTACCTTCCTTTCCTTCAATACCTGAGCTCCACTAGGCAGGTCGAGTGGCATAGTATGCAAGTTTCATTGGAAATAAAGCCCTTCAAATGAACAAGTTATATAAAGCTGCTTTTATGATAATGTAGATCTCACCTTATTAGTCATTTAGCTTGGTATCTAAATTCAGTATTTTAAGACAGATGTAGAATAAAGATGTATGTAGCATGTTTTCCCACAGCTCCCACCTTGTCATAGCTAGGGCACCCCAGAGATGTATTGAATCCCAGTTAGTGTAATTATCAGCAGGTGTCCAGAGTTATTTTCCTTCTTTCTGTGAAACTAGATCTGTACCAGAGTAGAGTTCTCATAATAGCCTATATTTTTTCAGCATGGTTTTGGCACCCATACCTGGTTTCTGAAGAGAATACCTGGATCTCAGTATCCTTTGAGGAATGAATACATAGGAAATTTTGTGAAGGGTGATCGTCATGGGCATGGAAGGTTCATCTATGCCAGTGGAGCAATGTATGATGGAGAATGGATTTGCAATAAAAAGCATGGCTTTGTGAGTATCAACCAGTAATGAGAGAAATAAAATGCCAAGATAGTGAAAGAGGCTCTGATTGTGTCTACACAAGATATTTACTGCGCAGTCGACTAATTAACTTTTCAGTAAATGTCCAATGCCCCTATTAGGTTGCACAAAACCAATACATTCCACAAAAACCAATACATTCCACAGCAGGGTAGTACTTGTAAATACTGTGGAGTTTTTTCATGAACAGCTGCATACGTGTAGGCTGTTTCTTCATGAGCCGCTGTGCACAGCTGACCAGCTGGCTGGGGCACAAGGATGCTTCAGTGCAGGGGCTACGTGCCAGCTGCTCCTGGACTGAAGCACCTTTGTGCCCTAGCTATCCCCACCACAGCACACTGAGGCCAGTTGGAGCAACCCGCACCGAACCCCTGGCCAGCTGGGGCTGCTGCAACCCAGCTCAATGTGCTGCAGTCGAGGCGCACGGGTAAACTGTGCACGTGGGATCTCTGCGGTTTATTGCTCCTGGGAAGTTTATTTCTGCATGTTAATATCATGTGTAGACATGCCCTCTGTGTAGCAGATGGCTGGGTTTCTTCAAGGAAAACCTCATTCATTTTGCTAAGTGTACACATCAGTTACAGTGATTACTGAGTCAAGGGGAGTCCTTCCATTAAGCTCCTTGGGCACTGGATCAGACTGCTGAGGAGGATCACAGTTTGTATGTGACGAAACATGTTTTAACACAATTTTTTTCAATGCATGAGATATGTCTGATTCTTTTCAGCCTCTCAGTTGAAAAATAACCTTCACTTTCTCTTGTCTTTTTGGCTAAGGTCAGTTTTAATATCTGATGCACTTTTTTCCTCCAGAAGATTCCAAGCTGTCTTTGCACAAGGTCACACCCACATGAATACGGTGCTTCCAGCCCTATCTAAAGTGCCAAAATCTAGGCACAGTCTGTTGTGAAAAGCTGCAAACTGTTCTAAATGTGTTGAACAGATATTTAATACTTGACCTCAACATTCTTTGCACAAGAGTGTAAATATCATCCTTCATTTTGCAGTATGTCGTGGATTGCAATTTAAACTTGATTTAGATTACAGAAGGAAGCCTTCTAAGTGCTAGGGAAGGCATTTCTTTTCTAATGATCTTTTTACACTCATATATATAAAAACAAAGAGCCTCCTCTTCTCTCTAGGGAAGGTTTGTCTTCAAGAATGGACGTATTTATGAAGGAGAGTTTATAAATGATCAAATTGCAGATTATCCCACTTTTCAAGTGGATGCAATGAATACACAGGATCTGAGTGGTATTCGCACACAAAGCCCCATTGGCACTGGTAAGCAGCCTGAAGTGACAGGAAAGCAGAGAAGTTTGGTTTAAAATATTTGAATTATGTGAGTGATATATGACTTTTAAATGGAAATATACACATGTCCCACAGATGTATTGATTAATAAATTAAATTAAATTTGAATTACTAATAGACAGGGTTCTTTGAGTAGATGCAAGATCTTTTGTTAGACCAACTGAGTAGTTGGAAAAAAGTTCTTAGCAAGCTTTTGGGCACAGTCATCCTTCTTCAGGCATAGGGAGTCTCTGCTGATCTGAGACTCCAAGGAAAAAGAGTGGCTAAATGAGTAAAGTAAAAAAGAGAAGCTAAAAGACAACCAAAAATCCCAATTACTAATAGAAGTTGTTTTGGATAATTCCAGATTTAGATCATAGTATTTTCATTTAAAAATTAAACTGATTTTATATTACCTTGGTTTCCTAAGTCTCTGTTCACTAGACCAAAAAGTGAATATGTATCTAGGTGACAGGAAAAAAAATGTTTTACATTTTCATGATCAGTCCCTTCACCTACAAAACAAGAAAAACCCCAACAACAAAAACTTGCTGTTTGGCTGCTAAGTTCAGAAATGGAGGTGTCTATAAGGCTCTCAGTGTTCTGGACCTGGCATCATGCTTTCAGCCTAGATATTACATCACCCATGCAAAGCCTGAGACATGGCCAGACTAGATAGAACATAAGTCATGAGCATATATGTACAGATGATTTAAACCTCTCCTTTGCTTTGTCCTGATTTGGGAGCAGTTCTGCTCAGGTTGGGACAAACTCCATCCAAATGAACTTGCAATTTTAAAATCAGTAGCTGTCTTCTGCAAAGAACAGTCAATCTTGACAAGGACACACAGGTTTCCCTTGCTTTATGCGGGTTCTGTATGTGAATTTGCTCTATGCATAAATCCTTTTTATATAAATATTTGTTCTATGCATAAATCCTTTTTGTATAAACCCTTTTCATACTAAAAATTCATTATATGTGAGATAAATTCACTCTTACGTGATCAGTGTGGTAGAAGCCCCCAGTCAGCTACTTTATGCTGTGCATTGTGGGAATGAGGCACACCAGAATATCTACTCCTGTGTGGACTTGTGCTCCTCGCTCGTTGTCTGAGACACGTGTTTCTGTACTTGCCATCCTGATTATGATAGTGCCCTGTGCTTGCGTGTACTGTCTGCGTCTGCTGTTGGTGAGTACCAAAATTGTCTTGTAAAAGTGGTAGAAATGGGTCTGGGGGTCAGGACATTGGAGGTCTTGGAATGTATCCCAATTTGTTACATTGTAAAGTGGGTTCCCTTTATGTAAATTCGCGTTATGCACCGTTTTCCAGGAACACATGTACAGCATAAAGTGAGGGAAACCTGTATAATAACTTTTTCCCACTGGCTGTACCGTCGAGAAAGGGCACCATCAATTATTTGTTCTTTGCTTCCATGCTTCTTTTCATCCTTGACAATGAAGACTGTTTGAAAAGTCTTGCCATGTGCTGCTAAATCCATAATCTAGGTGTATTTGGAAACATTGCAGTATGGAAATTTAACAAGAATAGCCTTTAATAGAATAGCCTGGTGTGATATGTTTCATTAATAAGGTGCATATGTCTTAATGTCTCTTCATGTGTATCTGTTAAGATTCAGCCAGTGAAACAGTTGTTTCATCAACTAAGTTAGGTCTTCTGTTCTTGAAATCAGTGAGAAGGGGCAGAGAGAATAGAGAATATTATCTTATGTTTGTATATCACTAGGTATTTAGTGGAGCAAGGCTAATTGTTACTTTTGCTCACTTGGTAGAGACCATCAGAATAACTGATGGCCAAGGAAATACTTCTGTTTTGGGCTCAAACATCGAACTAGATATATCTTCATTGCTGGACTTGATTCCAGAGAATGACAGAAAGGAGGAAATAAAACAGGTAAGAGCCTGCATCTGCTTTCTTCAGTGTGCCTGCTGCTGTTCTTCATTCTGTGTAACTTGATTGTATGTGCATTTTATGTACAAGTCTGTATTCGCCTGTGATCTGAAAGTCTGAAGAAGGTAACCAACAACAGCAAGATATAGGAAGGGACATGCCAAACAGGCAGTATTCCTCTCGCTGAGCATCCCATAAAAAGTGTTAAAACAGAACACTTCAGTGCAAGTGAAAAAGCATTAAATGTTCCTTCATAAGATTTGGGACAGTAGGGAACCTTTGTGGACATCTACATGTGCGCTGGACTGCACAGTTAC